CTGTCCCCTCAAGTTCCCAGTCTAACTTTATTCACAGATGCCTCCACCCTCGATTGGGGAGCATATATATCTGGAGGGCTTACAATCTCGGGAGTCTGGAATCCAGATCTTTTGGAAGAGCATATCAATGTATTGGAAATGAAAGCAGTTCTGTTTGCACTGAATCATTTCCAACTGTCTCTAAAGAATCAGTCTGTCATTCTGGTCACAGACAACACAACAGTTGTAGCTTATCTCAAGAATCAGGGAGGAACTCACTCGCCTTCTCTTTATCAGATAGCCAGAGACATTCTCCTTCTCTGTTTTCAACTCCAGATTCATCTAGTGGTGAGACATATTGCGGGGCACCTCAATATTCTAGCGGACACTCTATCCAGATCCCTTGCTCCAGTAAACACGGAGTGGGAACTACTTCAAGTAGTTTTCAAAGCTGTGACTCTTCAATGGGGGTCACCTCAGATAGATCTGTTTGCGACCAGTCTCAATCACAAACTTCCCACATTTGTGTTTCTGGTTCCAGATCCGAAATCTTTTGCGGTAGACGCAATGAGCCTATCTTGGAAAGGAATGTTCGGGTACGCCTTCCTTCCTTTCAGGTTTCTCTCCCCAGTACTTCAGAAAATAGCAGGGGAGAATTGTAAGATCATAGTTATTGCTCCAGCATGGCCCAACAGTCTTGGTTTCCAGACCTTCTGCGCCTATCATGTGCTTGTCCTCTAGTTCTTCCTCTGAGACCAGACCTTCTGTCTCAAATCAAGGGCAAGGTTCTTCATCAAAATCCAGAAAAACTTCATCTACATGCCTGGCTTCTCTCAGGGTTAGCCTCAGAAAGAGAGGTTTTTCTGAAGGAGCAACCAAGCATCTCACTAAGTCTGTCAGAGACTCCACTAGCCTTGACTATGATGCAAAATGGTCAATCTTCTCAGATTGGTGTAATGAGCGGGAAATCGATCCTTTCCAAGTCACTGTACAACAATTAGCAGACTTTCTGGTTTTTCTTTTTGAATCCAAAGGATTATGTACCTCTACTATTAAGGGATATAGATCATAAAAATAAAATTGAGAATGGAAATGGGGAATATGTCAAAGAGACAACAACCCGACCAAAGAGCAGACAACAGACAAAGCCACCAATGGGTCTTCAATGCAGCGAGAAAATCCTGCACCCGGAGGTGGTCCTTAGCTGGCCCCTAACTAAAATTGTGTCCTAGCTCAGTGAAAATGGACGTCACACTAAACTCCAAAACATATAAATGAACTTAAATTAAAAAAACATACTAGACTAACAAAGGCCAGAGGCTCCTGACTTGGGACAGGCGCAAAAATGCGGCGGGGTTAAACATGTTTTGCGAGATCTCAACCCTCCCCCTATACCTCTAGCCAATGTAGAATAAAGAAACACATAGCAATACGCACAGTAAAACTCAGTTTAAAAGAAGTCAGAGTCCAATGTCAGAATAGGTAACAAAAGAAACTAAGCAAATTGACAATGATACATAAATGAACAAAGGACTACTAGCAGTTACTGACATGCCAGCTCCAAACCTCAATTAAACTGATTGAAAGATTATGTCTTCATCATATGAAAATCAAGTACAATTCCTCCCGTTAGGGGTTTAGTATCATACCATCATAAAATATATGAGAAGAACATAACCCGTATCATGCCAACAACTGGTTTTAGAATAAATGTGTTTATTTCCGATGCAAAGACCCTATGAGTGAATCAATATTAATACCAAAATATGCAATCCTTAATGACTTGACAACAGTATCGTAACTATATCCTTTCCGAATAAGTTTGTTTAAAGGTTTGGTTAGCTTTTGAAGTGAATGCCGATATTTTTGTGCCTTGTAAAGAATATTACCATAAAATATTGGAAGTGAAATACCTGAACGTATAAGATGTCTGCATGTTGATTTATATTTACGAATGATGTCCTTGTACCGATGATAAAATTTAGTAAATGTTTTGACTAGTTTGTGATATCGAAAACCCTGGTGTAATAATTTTTCAGTAATACAGAGATTTCTTTTGTTGAAATCAAATACGTTGTTAAATACATGAGCTAATCGAACAAGTTGAGATATATAAACACCATAAGATGGCGACAAGGGAACGTCACCATCTAACTAGAGGCTCTTAAGAGCCTGTGTCGCTCACCTTGGTCTATGTGCATATTAAACAAAGGACACAGATGGATTCATGACAAAATTGTGTTTTGGTGATGGTGATGTGTTTGTAGATCTTACTTAACTGAACATTCTTGCTCCTTACTATTATCTCTAATTATAATGAACTTGGCCCGGTAGTTACAGTGGAAAATATTTTGTAAAAATTTACAAAAATTTACAAAATTTATGAAAATTGTAAAAAATGACTATAAAGGGCAATAACTCCTTAAGGGGTCAATTGACAATTTTGATCATGTTGACTTATTTGTAGATCTAACTTTGCTGTACATTATTGCTGTTTACAGTTTATCTCTATCTATAATAATATTCAAGATAATAACCAAAAGCTGCAAAATTTTCTTAAAATTACCAATTCAGGGGCAGCAACCCAACAAGGTGTTGCCTGATTGGTCTGAAAATTTCAGGGCAGATAGATCTTGACCTAATGAACAATTTTATCCCGTCAGATTTGCTCTAAATTCTTTGGTTTCAGAGATATGAGCCAAAAACTGCATTTTACCCTATGTACTATTTTTTAGCCATGTCAGCCATCTTGGTTTGAGGGCGGGTCATCGGACACATTTTTTAAACTAGATACCCTAATGATGATTGTGGACAAGTTTGGTTAAATTTGTCTTAGTAGTTTCAGAGGAGAAGATTTTTGTAAAAGATTACAAAAATTTACGAAAAATGGTTAAAAATTGACTATAAAGGGCAATAACTCCTTAAAGGGTCAACTGACCATTTTGGTCATGTTTGACTTATTTGTAGATCTTACTTTGCTGAACATTATTGCTGTTTACAGTTTATCTCTATCTATAATAATATTCAAGATAATAACCAAAAATGGCAAAATTTCCTTAAAATTACCAATTCAGGGGCAGCAACCCAACAACGGGTTGTCCGATTCATCTGAAAATTTCAGGGCAGATAGATCTTGACCTGATAAACAATTTTACCCTGTCAGATTTGCTCTAAATGCTTTGGTTTCAGAGATATAAGCCAAAATCTACATTTTACCCCTATGTTCTATTTTTAGCCATGGCGGCCATCTTGGTTGGTTGGCCGGGTCTCCGGACACATTTTTTAAACTAGATACCCCAATGATGATTGTGGCCAAGTTTGGCCAAGTAGTTTCAGAGGAGAAGATTTCGTAAAAGTTAACGACGACGGACGCCGGACGCCAAGTGATGAGAAAAGCTCACTTGGCCCTTTGGGCCAAGTGAGCTAAAAATGGATAATTAACAATAGGAAATGAAAAATAATCTCCTATTTCAAGAACTATTCATATTTCTGGTGGTCCAGATTTTGGAAACAATGAGCATATTTCTCTTTTGGTTCGTAGTTTTAGTCTTGAAAGACCAAGACAAAAAACTTTAGTTCCAAAGTGCGACCTTGGACTAGTTTTATCTTTTTTAAAACTTTCTCCTTTTGAACCAGCAGAAAAAATAGATTTAAGGTTTCTTTCCTATAAATGCTGTTTTCTTTTAGCTTTGGCTTCTGGACGGAGAAGGAGTGAAATCCATGCCTTCTCTATTTCTGATGCTTGCCTTTGATTTAACAGGGATAAATCTTCTGTTACTCTTTTTAACTGATCCTGCTTTTTGGCAAAGAATTAGATTCCAGATAAGGGTGCAGTACCAGTCGTGATTCCTGCACTCCCTAGCGATTCTATTTCTGTACTTTTATGTCCAGTGAGAATCCTTTCTATTTATCTGGATAGAACAAAGAGTTTACGTTCTGTTTCTAACTCAAGACTCTTTACTCCTTTTAAAAAAGGAATCTTAGATCTTTCTGTTAAAACTATTTCTACTTGGATATGCAAATGCATATCTTTAGCTTATGGTTCTTCTAAGGCAGAACTTTTGGATAGTTTTAATGTTAAAGCTCATGATGTTAGGGGTATCTCGACATCCTGGGCTCTGTTTAACAGTGCATCTTTAGAAGAGGTACTGTCTGCAGGTTTCCGGAGAAATGAGAACTCTTTTATCTCTCATTACCTCCAATCTATGGCTAATTTTGCTGAGATATACTCTCTTGGACCTATAGTTTCAGCACAAAGATCTAACTTTCCTCCTGTTTCTTCTGTTACAGGGGATTCAGCTTTCCGTTAGATTCTGTTACTCAGAATTTATGATGGTAAAGTATTTATAGCTATAAAATAATCAAATTTTAAAGTAAATTTGGATTTTATTAGATAAATACTTACCATCATAAACTATAGGTCCCACCCACCTCCCCTTCATCCCCTTTCCTTACGTTTCTGTCTTGAGGAAATTGAATGGGAGAATATGGGTACACAGGGGTATATGTCTGGACCAGTGATAGTACCTTTATTTTTAGTCGGGGATATTCTATCTAACCTAATGATGCAGTTGGGGTACACTCAGAATTGATGATGGTAAGTATTTATCTAATAAAATCCAAATTTACTTTAAAATTTGATAATTTTCCATATACCAACTTCAGAAATATTATTTTCAGAATCAAACCTTGTTACAAATAAAGACAAATTATTAGGTCATTTTTTGGGGTCCAAAAATACAGCCCTGACTTTTCTTTACACAATTTTTTGTTATTCCTCTTGCCTATCAATTCTGCACTTGAAAATAAATTCTTCATCATAGTTCAGCATAGACTTCTTTGTTCCTTCAGGGCAAATTAAAATATTTTATTTTGCCTCTGGTAAATGGATGATAGAACAAGGTGTCTAGTGAAATCTTTATCCCACAATGACCAATCTTTAGTCATTCTCTTAATTCTAAATAGCATTTCATTTCAATGCCAGTGTTACTCAATGGTTGTACCACTAAATGCTGACTTACCTCCCCTATGACACCAGACAAAGTCAGCTTGAGTTTTTTCCCCTTGTTAGTTGAATCAGATTTGTCTGCTTTTAAGGAAGCTGGTTTAACAACCTCCTTAATTCCAGCGACCATCACTGCTGATTTCTTTCCCATTAATGTAGGTGGTGCCAGCACTGTGGTAATGTTGCTTTTTTGGGATGTTGACTGCTTCTTTAATGCCTAATTCAATTAAAGAAGGTCACATTTTATTTCTTTTCATTTGAATATAAATTGTTGACAGAGAGATATGTCTTGCCAAATGTAATTTTGATAGTAAAATTCAAATGTTGAAATAAAATGGCAATACTTAAACATGTAAACTATGCTAGACACTTAAAGTTAATGAACCATGGTTGAAGGTGCAATATTATAAGAGGATCAAGTGTTTGAAGAATGACATATTATATGCCAGTTACAAATTTATCATCAAATGCCTTGACACAAAAACAAGTTGTTTTGGGACCCCTAGCCTATGTTTCTTTATTGGTTATCAGAAATATATTTATATTGTGCATTTCAAATGACTCCAAATGACATGATTTCATTCAAAATGTCTTAAACAAGTGAAAATACAATTATTAATTTCTAAGAAACAAGAATGTGTCCATAGTACACAGATGCCCCACTTGCACTATCATTTTCTATGTTTAGTGGACCGTGAAATTGGGGTCAAAACTCTAATTTGGCATTCAAATTAGAAAGATCATATCATAGGGAACATGTGTACTAAGTTTCAAGTTGATTGGACTTCAACTTCATCAAAAACTACCTTGACCAAAAACTTTAACCTGAAGCGGGACAGACGGACGGACGGACGGACGTACGAACAAACGAACAAACGAACAAACGGACGGACGCACAGACTGAAAAACATAATGCCCCTAGGTGGAGCATAAAAATACAAAAGTGACTTCAACAACTCAGACTGGCCCTTAAGACCAGGTGAGCTAATATATGAGATTTACTATATACTTTATTGCATTTTAACTGCAGTTTAACAGCATTTTTCATACCTTGGTAGCTCTATCAAGGTCACCTTTTAGTCTGGCAACTTTTTCTTGAAGTTCTCTTAAATTCATATTTAGTTCAGTATTCTCATCTGAAAGCTGGGCTGTAACCTAAAAATAATTCCCAAAACAAAACAAAAAGAAAGTAAAATAATAATGTCATCACCAGTTTAATTCTACTGTAAATTACAACGTATATTATTTCTCTGTGAAATATGAAATTAGGTTTCAATTTCTTTGTTAAAACATTGTGAATAAACTGCTAGGCTTTATTTTTGATTTCCAACTTTAACTTTACTTGAAAGAAAATGATAACAGATTTCTGCATTATAAAAAAAACAAATGTCATCAGATTCTTATCTATCATATTGCAAGATGATATACTAAAATTAATATGGATACATATAGATGGAACTTTGTTTAGACTTTTTTTCCTTCTGAAAAGTAACTAAGTACCACCAGGACTTACAGTCATAACTCTTTCAAGTACGATTATCAAACTCAGACTCAGAAATCAACCAATCAAACTACAGGATTTAGCGTTTCCAGCACAAATTTTGTACTCTGAGTACTGGGTAAAGTTTTAGGACTGAAAGGATACCTATCCCTTCCTTTATTCCCTATGTTCACTGTTTTAGTAACAATAAAAACATTAGTCTGTCACCAAGTCATTTACAAGTGCAACTCCTAATGTTATATTCTATTTAAAATACAATTCCTATGTAAATGCCTCCACCATCAACACTCTGTTTTACTTTGGTTCAGATCATCTGTTCGGGATCCTTGGAATTTGTTTTTTAAAATTCAAGAAATTGCATTAGTTGATGTAATATTCATTAATACAACAGAAAGTAGAATAAAGCATTGTCAGAGACCTTGAAAGTGAAGCATGGACATAGAATCTGTATTCTAATTAGATTGACCATGTTTGGTCACAATTGGGCCCCGTGGTATTAGAATAGTAGTGGATATTTGATGTCATGGTTTTGCCCAAGTCTGCATACAAATCTATAGATATGTGTACTCCGTAGACCATTGAATTCGTGGTTTACCTATACCCATGAAAATGGGTATCCCACGAATAATAATGAATCCACAGTAATAAGAAAGGGATGGCCTCTGAAGGGACTTAATAAGAAATGGATGGCCTCTGAAGGGACTTAATAAGAAATGGATGGCCTCTGAAGGGACTTAATAAGAAATGGATGGCCTCTGAAGGGACTTAATAAGAAATGGATGGCCTCTGAAGGGACTTTATAAGAAAGAGTGGCCTCTGAAAGGACTTTATAAGACATGTAAAGTCTCTAGAATGGGATGGACTCTCTGAAGGTTTTTTTTTATCAGAAATGGATAGCCTCTGAAGGGTCTTTATAAGAAATTGATGGCCTATGAAAGGCCTTTCTAAGAATGTTGTAGCCTCTGAAGGGACTTAATGAGAAATGGATGGCCTCTGAAGGGACTTTATAAGAATGGGATAGCCCCTTAAGGGAGTTAAATAAATAGATGGCCTTTGATGGGATTTTATGAGAAATGGATATCATTTAAAGGGACTTTATAAAAAAGGGATACCACTGGAAGGGTATTTATAAGAAACGGATAGCCTCTGAAGGTCCTTTATCAGAAATGGATAGTCTCTGAAGGGCCTTTATAAGAAGGGGATAGCCTCTGAAGGGACTTTATAAGAAAGGGGTAGCCTTTGAAATGACTTTATAAGAAATGGATAGCCTTAGAAGGGACTTTTATAAGAAAGCAATAGTCCCTTTAGGGATTAAAGAAAAAGATGGCCTCTGAATAGACTTTATGAGAAATGGATATCCTCTAAAGAGACTTTATAAGAAAGGGATAGCCTCTAAAAGTACTTGATAAGAAATGGATAGTCTCTGAATTTACTTTATAAGAAAGGGTGGCTTCTGAAGGGTCTACATAGGGAATGTATTATTATATCATGTATAATGTCATGAGACAATGGTGGCTGGAGGAAATAATGTTAGTAATTTGAATTGTTAGAACAGAGCTCTGTTTAGAATTTTCTATCTTTCTTCAAAATCTTGTCCAAATAATAGATGTGGAAATTTCCTAAAAGGTAATAATATTCTGAAGTCTTTCAAATTTCTGTTCCAACTTTTACAAACCTGCCATCTTTCCTTGAATATATTATTGGAGACTCCTCCAAGAGAGGTGTTGACTTTTTGACCTCTTTCAGATAAACCAAACAGGCAAAAGAGACATTGAAAGGAGTCGGGAAAAAAAACATTTTAGTCCAAATATATTCATTTAAAACCATAAAATATATATTCTAATAATTATTTGAAAGCACTTATGACATGTATAAGAGATGCAAGAGGTATTCTTGTGCTTAAAATCTCCCTTGGAGATTGTGAAAAGTTGGCAGGTATGAATTTCTTTACCACAGAGCACTGGTCTTACAAGCAAAGATAAAATATATCATACATTACCACAACAATTGTGCTGTTGGTCATTCTACAAAATACTTAAAACAAAAGGCAGTGAACACTTTTAGAAATACACAATATACATCAAAAACATAAATATAAGCTACTCGAGTCCAATCTTTTTCCAGACTACTTAATGATCTTTCAAATGTAGCATTTATTTCCTTTATGACTGTATAAATAAGAAGTCCTGCTGTATGTTTCAGTTGTTATAAAATTTGACATTTCATCATTTTGTTGTGATAGCCATCAGTTCAGTAGAATAACTCTTTAGCCAAGAGTCTTACACGCATTGTTCATACATGTAGGTGATTTTAGTGAAAATATTTAAGGTTTGCAACTTTTGACCGATAGAAAGTCACTTATATTGCCATTAATGCTTTTTATAATAAAGAAAATATTTGATTGCTGAGTCTATTCAATGACACACTTATTTCTGGTTTATTCAATGTCATATATATGCCTTTACAATGAATTTACTTTTCTCTTTTGTTAAAGTGTGTATGGATTATGACGTCCCTTTTTCTATGTTTTCTGTTTTATCAACATTTGTACATGTACTTACCTTTTTCTCCCTTTTTATATCGGCTTGCAGACTGAAATGATAAAAGATTAATAAGAAATTCCCAGTATGCAAAGTTCATGTTTGATGAAAAGTCTCATTTTATATTTAAACAAAACCTTTTGTCTGCAAATTTCCCATTCATTAACTAAGGTTGACAATCCCTGAGACAAAGCTGACCTAATTTAGTTTACTTAAACTGTCCTGTTTAGGCTGCTTTAGTTTTAATGTTCGCAAATGTTTTGAAGTTTTGGCTTTCCAAAGATTTGGTCTCCAGATGAAGGTTTTCCTAGAAACTTGTGTCATGCACAAAGTAGTATACATGTTATTTATACAATATTCAGTAAGTTTCAATGTACAAAAAATATTTTAAATACTATTTTTGCATACTTCAGGAAATGGTTGATCTTCATGGAAGACCACCATTTCCTGTTCTTTAACGTAATTTGGGGAATGAATGATCATCATGGAAAATCTCTTTTTCTTGGTTTCTTTATTAGGCATACTTTGGGAAATGGTTGACCATCATGGAAGTCCCTTATTTCTTTCTTTTTGCATACTTCTGGAAATGGTTGATCTTCATGGAAGACCCCAATTTCCTTTTTTGCACACTTAGGGAAATGGTTGACCATCATTAAATACCCCTACTTCCCATTTTTTGCATGCTTTTGAAAATTGTTAACAAACAAGGAAGACCCATATTTCCTTTTTTTTTTCTGCATACTTTGGGAAATGATTGACCACCAAGGAAGACCCCTATATTATGTTTCTTTGCATACTTTGGCAAATATTGACCATCATGGAAGACCTCTTTTTCCTGTTTTTTGCATACTTTTTGGAAATTGTTAACCAACAAGGAAGACCCCTATTTCCTGTTTTTTGCATACTTTGGCAAATGATTGACCACCAAGGAAGATGCCTATTTCCTGTTTTTTGCATACTTTCGGAAATGGTTGACCATCATGGAAAACCCTTATTTCCTTTTAAATCTGATGTCATTACAAATTGCTGTGACTCCCTTTAAAAACAAGTTTTTGGTTCTTCTCATTTTTCTCAGTTGTTTTTTTCTAAGTTCAATTTGAATCTAATTAATTTCCTTAATATGCTTACCTTTTAACCTGTTTTTGCTGCTTTTCTAAATTTTTCATCAAATCTTTCAAATGTGCACTAAGATTAATCAACTCTAAAAAATATTAGGATTTGATGCATTACTTCAAGTATGAGTAGGGTATAGAAGGCCATTGAATCAGTGTATTATCCATAGAAGGCCATAGAATCAGTGTATTATCCATAGAAGGTCATAGAATCAGAGCATTATCCATAGAAGATCATAGAATCAGTGCATTATCCATAGAAGGCCATAGAATCAGTGTATTATCCATAGAAGACCATAGAATCAGTGTTTTATCCATAAAAGGCCATAGAATCAGAGCATTATCCATAGAAGGTCATAGAATCAGTGCATTATCCATAGAAGGTCATAGAATCAGTGTATTATCCATAGAAGGCCATATAATCAGTGTTTTATCCATAGAAGACCATATAACCAGTATTTTATCCATAGAAGGTCATAGAATCAGAGCATTATCCATAGAAGATCATAGAATCAGTGCATTATCCATAGAAGGCCATAGAATCAGTGTATTATCCATAGAAGACCATAGAATCAGTGTTTTATCCATAAAAGGCCATAGAATCAGAGCATTATCCATAGAAGGTCATAGAATCAGTGCATTATCCATAGAAGGTCATATAATCAGTGTATTATCCATAGAAGACAATAGAAACAGCAAGCAGAAATTATCTGTTATGTTATCTTATTGCAATGTTAATTTATATAGACAGGTGTCATCTTTTATTAGAAAGCTAAATAACTTATTGTGACATGTATATTGATTTGTATGAATTTTTATTTGTTTTTGTTTTTAAATGTTACCATTGTATTATAAATCATGTTTATTATTGTATATTTACCTCATGTTACACATATATGTGTCTGAGCGTTGCTTTACAATAAATATTGAAAATATTGAAATATTATCCAAAGAAGACCATAGAATCAGTGTGTTATCCATAAAAGTCCATAGAATCAGAGCATTATCCATAGAAGGTCATAGAATCAGTGCATTATACATAGAAGGCCATAGAATCAGTGTATTACCTATAGAAGCCCATAGAATCAGTGTTTTATCCATAAAAGGCCATAGAATCAGAGCATTATCCATAGATACCATATAATTAGTGTTTTATCCATAGAAGGCCATAGAATCAGTGTATTATCCATAGAGGGTCATAGAAACAGGGTATTATCCATAGAAGGTCATAGAAACAGTGTATTATCCTTAGAAGACCATCGAACCAGTGTTTTATCCATAAAAGGCCATAGAATCAGTTTATTATCCATAGAAGGTCATAGCATCAGTGTATTATCCATAGAAGGTCATAGAATCGGTGTATTATCTATAGGTCATAGAAACAGTGTATTCAGGGATCTCCATGGATGAAAATTTAACAATGGAGGAACTCTAACCAGGATAAAACCATGCGTGTTGTGATCGAATATATTTTATTCTTACATTTCATTGTAGGGAATAGTGAAAAGACTGATATATTGTTTATTATAATCAATTTATTATAGAATTACCAATATTTTCATTAATTGTCATTTGTAACAATTCCAAGGTCAAGCTTGCATGGCATCAAGGTTAACAAAAATTCAGCTGCTACTTAATGTCAAAGTTTTTTCCTATCAGAAGGTTCCCAGAGTCGTTTTCTCGCTATTTTGGTAATTTTGTTAGGACTTAAATGTGGAGATTGTTTTTCTCAGTTAAACACCCCCGTAGTAGGTGTCAAATTCAATCCAGAAGTCACGATGATTTGCAGCATCAACAACAAGAAGTTTTGTACCCGTTTTTGTAAAACATTGAATACAGATTTATGGAGGGCAAAAGGTTAAAAACTGAAATGGTTTTAAGGACATAAAATTGATATTCCACTGTAATAGACCATGCAGCATGCATCTTTCTATTCTGAATGTAAACCAGATGTATTAATTTAATTGTAAACTATGAAATGAATTCGAAATTACGATACAAAATTTTGTTAAACTTTTTTCTTTGTAATTGAACTAAAATGGTGTTTTTAATCTAAATTTTCATCAGCATTTGCTGAAAAGTAATTAAATAATGCAATTAATCATCTCTCTTGATTAAGTGTTCAAGTTCTCCTGACAGATGTCTCGAACTACCTGTACAAGTGATTAGTGATCTTAAGCCGGATATCACTTAGAGAGTTAAAACAGTAATCAGAAAGACCCTTTGAATTATAATACAATAGGGGCAATGCAATTACATGCAATTGATTATAATTCCTAACAAAAATGGCGGTGGCGGCTAGCAAAACGAAAACACAAATTACATTGTTTTCATACTACCCCATTCAATCATAGTGCAGTTTTTCATCAATTGCAGAGATCATTTGACGATGGGGGAAGATGATTTAACGATGGTGGGTATCATTTGATGATGGCGGAAGATAATTTAACAATGGCGGTGCGCCATAATAAAACTAGAGGCTCTAAAGAGCCTGTGTCGCTCACCTTGGTCTATGTGCATATTAAACAAAGGACACAGATGGATTCATGACAAAATTGTGTTTTGGTGATGGTGATGTGTTTATAGATCTTACTTTACTGAACATTCTTGCTGCTTACAATTATCTCTATCTATAATGAACTTGGCCCAGTAGTTACAGTGGAAAATATTTTGTAAAAATTTACAAAAATTTACAAAATTTAGGAAAATTGTAAAAAATTGACTATAAAGGGCAATAACTCCTTAAGGGGTCAATTGACAATTTTGGTCATGTTGACTTATTTGTAGATCTTACTTTGCTGTATATTATTGCTGTTTACAGTTTATCTCTTATCTATAATAATATTCAAGATTATAACCAAAAGCTGCAAAATTTTCTTAAAATTACCAATTCAGGGTCAGCAACCCAACAACATGTTGCCTGATTGGTCTGAAAATTTCAGGGCAGATAGATGTACACCTAATGAACAATTTTTTTCTCGTCAGATTTGCTCTAAATGCTTTGGTTTCAGAGATATGAGCAAAAAACTGCATTTTACCCTATGTACTATTTTTTAGCCATGACGGCCATCTTGGTTCGCTGGCAGGGTCATCGGACACATCTTTTAAACTAGATACCCTTATGATGATTGTGGACAAGTTTGGTTAAATTTGTCTTAGTAGTTTCAGAGGAGAAGATTTTTGTAAAAGATTACAAAAATTTACGAAAAATGGTTAAATATGGACTATAAAGGGCAATAACTCCTTAAGGGGTCAACTGACCATTTTGGTCAAGTTGACTTATTTGTAGATCTTACTTTGATGAACATTATTGCTGTTTACAGTTTATCTCTATCTATAATAATTTTCAAGATAATAACCAAAAACGGCAAAATTTCCTTAAAATTACCAATTCAGGGGCAGCAACCCAACAACGGGTTGTCCGATTCATCTGAAAATTTCGGAGCAGATAGATCTTGACCTGATAAACAATTTTACTCTGTCAGATTTGCTCTAAATGCTTTGGTTTCAGAGATATAAGCCAAAATCTACATTTTACCCCTATGTTCTATTTTTAGCCATGGCGGCCATCTTGGTTCGTTTGCCAGGTCACCGGACACATTTTTTAAACTATATACCCCAATAATGATTGTGGCCAAGTTTGGTTTAATTTGGCCAAGTAGTTTCAGAGGAGAAGATTTTTGTAAAAGTTAACGACGACGGACGACGACGGACGCCAAGTGATGAGAAAAGCTCACGTGGCCCTTTGGGCCAGGTGAGCTAACAAGTCATGGAGATCCCTGTGTATTATCCATAGAAGACCATATAATTAGTGTATTATCAATAAAAAGCCATATAATCAGTGTATAATCCATAGAAGGCCATAGAATCAGTGTATTATCCATAGAAGGTCATAGAATCAGTGTATTATCAATAAAAAGCCATATAATCAGTGCATTTTCCATAGAAGGCCATAGAATCAGTGTATTATCCATAGAAGGCCATAGAATCAGTGTATTATCCATAGAAGGCCATAGAATCAGTGTATTATCCATAGAAGGCCATTGAATCAGTGTATTATCAATAAAAGGCCATATAATCAGTGTATTATCCATAGAAGGCCATATAATCAGTATCTTATCTAAACAATATATAAGAGCAGCATTTAAATGTCTGCCACTGCTTGATGTAGTTACTCAAGACATTTGTCTATGTAGTGATTTTGTGTCATAAATTGATACAGCATATTCATTTCTTGTCCATTTTATGTGTAAAATCTACGTGATGAACGCAGAAAGCAGTAGCAGTAGTGACTTCAATCAAAATTTATGTGATTCTAGCTAAAACACCAAATCATGGGCATGAGGTATTGTTTATAATATAATCTTTGCAAATCTATCTTATCAAAATCCATCCAGGGTGAGATTATAGATTATTTATGGTACAGAAAGTAAGAGGGAGTTTCTCAGCTACAATCTTATTGAATAGTGAAAGCCCGGAGTTGAGATGTACTCAAGAAACTTTCTCTAGTTTGAAAGACCATAGACAATCTTTTTGTTACTATTCCTGCTTATGACATCATTGTATTCACACTCTAAATGACTGGTAAATCCATCTCAGTATATTAGCATGCCATGGAAAATTACCACACAGAAAAATCAGAGTAAAATTTATCACATTCAGCAAGAACGGTAAAAGTAAGAACCTTAACAAGGCATTAAATGTAACACATATTTTCAAGTAACAAGATCTGCACCTGAGATCATCCCCATTTTGTTTGATGTTTGTGTTGCTCAGTATAGTTTTCTGAATAGTGCTTTATTGACTGTTGTTTGTCTTTTTTCCATCATTTCTCTCTTTTGCCATGGCTTTGTTGATTTTTCATTACTCTATGGTTTTTCCCTTTAGTATGTTCTGTCTATTTCTGGCCATTAATCTTAATTCCACAAGGGGAATTTAAATATTTCAAATTTACCCTGACTTTTAATTTGATTGAAAATTGTTATTGGTGTAATTTATTTTTCATTAGGCATAACCTCCATTACAATATTTCCAAGAGGCATTACTTCCATATAATAAATAAAGGAGATGTTGGATATAAGACAACCCAACAACAAAAATAACCAAATGATATCTAAGGGTAAACATGTAGCCTTCATCAACATTAGTAGGGTATAAAAACATCAAGAAATGACGGAAGACCACCACTGAATAACTTACTAGCATGGGACAGGCATATAAATATGTGAAAGGGTTACCGTTAACTAGTTTTTTTAAGATCTCAAAACTCTCCCATATAATCTCAACAAATATATACCATAAACATTTTAGATTAGCACTTCTAAACTCCATAATGACATACTGCTTAGGCTAACAAGTCAGATTTTTTACAAAGAAGAAATGCAATTTCATCCTTTAATTTCCAGGGGAAAGTGAATGATCATAGAACCATCAACATATATTTCACTTCACCTTCATTTCCTTCCAAGCGTACTTGATTTAACATGGCAACAATTTGGTCAGCAGCATTTTTCCATGGTACTGGGTCTGTATCTCCGCTGCCAGGCATAGACTGGACACTTACTGCAATTAAATAACTGGTAAATACAATCATTATAATTGGTTTAAATTGCGATTCTAAAAGTGTTTAAAGATTAACAATAATAAGAACAATAATTTAATAATAAATAAGTTAGCAAGTCCAATCTAAACAAACCCCCAAAAAATTACATTGATGGTCATAATAACTCTTTAAACTTTCACTGGTTGTCAATACCATACCATGTTCAATTTAAATCATTAAGAACTTATAACCAAATAATAAGTAAGCCCATGACAAAAAGCTTCAAGACAACAAGAAAGCACTAAATCCAGCTGATCTCTCTTTTGCTAGTGATAGATTCTATTTACATTGCTACAGTTGTTATTGAATTGAACAGAAACCTAAAATTTTGTTTTTTTGAAATATATTAAGAATCATAACTTACTTAAACAACAAACTGTGTAATACATGACATTTCAAATCAACCTGTTCCTAGCTTTATGTTACATTTGATGAGAAGAAACCTAAAATAATACTATTTTCTACCTTATCAAAGGTCACATTGCTAAAACAAAGTAATTTGTAAAATGTGTCAAATTATATATTGACCTGTGTTTATTAGTTCTTTTAAAACTTTTTCTTTAAGTTTCAAATGATTTCATTCAAGGATATTCAAGTTATTAAGCAGAAGACTTTAAATTTGTAAGTTTCCTAAACATGAATGAAGATATCTCTGGAATGACAAATGTTCATATAAACATAAATTTGTCATTAAAGGTTGTTAACAACTTATTCATTTCTAATGATTTTGTTAGGGCTAGCTTAATTTACTGAATGGAAATCAATTTTATGGCATAGTATGAACAAGACATATGGATAGACAGATCAGGAAAAATCTCTATATTCAATGCCTTTGACAAGATTGTCCAAGTATAGAGAAATGAATACTAGTTTAACTCACTTTACATACTATACTCACCATTTTGCATGACCTTGACATTGTTAACCATGTCCATTTCTAATTTCTTTTTCTCCCTGTCAACAAGACAATCATTATCAATACACTTCATAATACATCTTTCTTATGACATTTTAAAAGATAGATATGAATCATGCTAAAATATCTAATCACAGCACCATCAGCATCCAGATCAGTTACCTGACCGGATACAATAATACCCATAAACCTTTGTAATCACAATTTCACTCTTATTCACACACAATCAATGAAAACAAAGAAATTACCAGCTTCAATTAATGTTATACTTATATTGTATTATTTTTTATACAAACCTGTAGCAAATTTGTATTTTGTTGAAACCTTAAATCCATATGAAATCTACATAATTTATTACTTCACAGATACTGATGTATCTACAATAATACTTTCCATTCAATTATCAAGTTTATCCATAGGTATTATCAAAATAGTTATAATTAATCATTCCTAATCATAATGGAGAAATACAAACTTACTTCTCTAAAGCCAGGAGTTTCTTGGGATCTAAGTTACCCTTCTTAAGATGTTGCTGTACACGTTTCATTTTCTCAAAAGTAATAATGGTGGCATTGAAGCTTTTACTGTAAATATACATTCATGATTATAAACAGTAGAAATACTAGGATACTGTAAACAAACTAATTTGAGTGAGTCATTTTTTTTCCACGACTTCAGTAATTGTAGACAATATGTCAAACTTTTATAAAAACATCAAGAAAGTCAGATAATATTGAATCATGGACACAAAATCAGTACGTGCACAGCAATAAACATACAAAAAGCAGAGGAAGTGCTTTTATTGCTGTTCTTCATCTCAAAGTCACAGTGAGGCCTTCAACACAGAGCCAAAAAAATTCACCTCACTGCAAGTTTAAGATGGCCCCTAGCATGGGTTTGAGCGGAATTCTTTGCAAAATGATTAGGATAGACTTTTTTAGATGTAATACCACCAAAATCGGGCCTGGTCAAAAATATAAATGCTTCCCTTTTTTCTGAATTTTTCCATATAATTCTTCGATCTCTTTGAACTCTTCCTACTGTTTTTATAAAAGATATACTTCAAGATATTGATAGAAGCACTGTCCTAAATTTAGTCAGATAATCCATAGTGATCAATCTGACGGACCAAAACCAATCATAAAAAAGTCTAAGGAAAAATCTGTCATCAGTATAATTCAGTTCTGATTTACACTCGCTAGTACTCAGGTATTTAGCACACAAAATCGTAATGTTTTCTAAGAACTTCTCAAATCTCTATAGTACAAATCATGACATCTGACAGAAAAAACTATCAGATACAATATTTTAGGTTTAATCAAAATGATTGTGGCAACAAAAATAATATTGAAATTTGTTTCTATTTTGATCTGCGCACCTGAATATGGAATCAAACTTTTTTTATCACAAGAAATTTGGGTCTTTGCATGGCCAATAATTTTGTCTGACCCACAGCAAAACTGTCTGATTTGTCAGACCATCTGGCATATTTTCAATTTTTGTGAATGAGGAAATTGAAGCCACAATATTTGAAATACTTTCATCAAGATTTGCTATGAATATTACTTATAAGCATGTCCTTTATTTTCCTTGCTGAATGTAGAATAACTTTGTAGATCAATTCACAGTAACAAAAATATGAATTCAATATGGGGTCATATGAAAGTTTCAATATCAATGTTATGTCAGTTTGTTCTGATTGAGCAAGATGTGACCTTAACTAAGCAATTAATGAGAGTAATCAGGTAAAATATGAATATTGTCATGTATTTCTCAGTCTGTTTATGAAGTTTTTACACTAAATCATTTAGATGTGTACTGATTGGTATTTTAGTCTGGGAAAACATGATTTATTTAATTAGTTGTAATTGGCTTTGAACTAGCTTTCAGTAACTACGAGTTCTTTTATTTTGGTGCTTTGTGTATAACATTTTTATGTTAGTTGTTTAAGTGCCTCGATCTTTTGAGTTAAGTCAACTGCTACTGATTTTTAGTTTGTTCTTATGCTGTGTTGTGACACTACTGTCCCAGGTTAAAGGGAGGGGTGAGCGCTCACAAACATATTTAACCCTGCCACATTCTTTATGTGCCTGTCCCAAGTCAGGAGCCTGTAGTTCAATGGTTGTTGTTGGTGGTTCATGTCTGTCATATTTGTTTTTTCGTAAATTGTTTTGTTATAAATTAGGCTGTTAGTTTTTTCGTTTGAATTGTTTCACGTTTTTTCATGTCAGGGCCTTTTATAGCTGACTATACGGTATTGGTTTTTCTCATTGTTGAAGACGGTACTGTTGCCTATAATTGCTTACATTTACTTCGTTTGAACTCTGGTGGATAGTTGTCTCATTGGCAATCATACCAAATCTCCTTATTTTTATATAAATGACTATGCATCAAAACTTTTTTTCTAAAGCATTTCTAATATTAAGAATTAAGGTACATTCTATTTTTCATCAAGAAATTAGATTAATCAACACCACCTTCAATTTGAACTTGAACAATATTCTGACATTTTTTTCTACCAAATTCAAACATACAGATTGAATAATTTTACCCTCCAACTACAATCTCGAATATTATTCTCTTTTTAAGACAACTGATATAGTGCAATATATCAGCATCATTATGATTACAGATAACTTTCACGTTACTTATTCAATATTTCAGCATCATTATGATTACAGATAACTTTCACCTTACTTACTCAATATTTGAGCATCATTATGATTACAGATAACTTTCACCTTACTTATTCAATATTTGAGCATCATTATGATTACAGATAACTTTCACGTTACTTACTCAATATTTGAGCATCATTATGATTACAGATAACTTTCACCTTACTTACTCAATATTTGAACATCATTATGATTACAGATAACCATGTTACTTACTCTAGTTCATTCTCTTCCTCCTTATTCATGGAAACATCAAGTTCTTCCTACAATAAACATCTATCTTCATTGATTTCTCTATTATTTAGCAAGTACAGAATGAAAAATACCTTTTATGGTATTGTAATAAGTGTTCTTTGGTTGCTGCCTTTCTGCCTATATCACACTATTCATACTATAAAATTTCAGCAAATTGTAATGATGTTGTCAAACCTTTGTAACATGATTATCAAATAAGGCAACTGAGACAGAGTTGCACTGATCATAATAACATAAGACCTTATCTTGACCTCTAGATGTCCTTGTTTTTGTTGTTATTAGGGTTGCTGTCTTATTGATGTATATGTATTCAACATTTCCTTTATTCAAATGTAATTTCTAGTCAGCTTTGGAGCCTTGGAACTTATAAGTTCCATTGCATAGTAAATACATATGAATTATTATTACAATTCCAGAATAAAAAGATTTCTGATATGCAAATATATAACAATGGAGTAAAACAAATGTAATAGAAGTTTTTATAACATTATTGGCAATTAAATCAAATATGTTTTCCATGATTTCAACTTAGATATACTTACCAACTCTGAATGATCTGCTGAAAACCACTGAAAAATATATCATTTATATAATAAACATGATAATTAAATATAACATTTATTTAACAAACATGATAAATATATATTAACATTTATTTCATAAACATGATCAATATAAAATTTATATATAACATTTAAAAATCAAAATTTATGCAGTAAACATGAAAAATAAAACATTTAATTAATAAACATGCTAAATTTAACATTTGACATGGAAACTTTATTTTACAGTTTTGATAAATTCTGCATTCAAGCCTTTAGGTAATTTGAACTTTGCTGAACGCTTAAAATTTGTGGTTCATCCATTTTAGAGGAATCCATAATTATTAGTATTCCACTAACAACAAGCAATATTTAATATTTGAACAAGAATGCACATGCTGTCATGTGAAGCATACCCCAACTTGCAATTCATAGTATCTGAAAGCAGGAAGTAGGTGTCCAACAGATCCAAAAAGCTATTACAAGTCATCACTGTCAATCTGTTGGCCAAATATGAAGTAATTCTGTACAGTAGTTTTAGAGAACTTCCTGTTTGGTGATATTTTAAATTTTACAATATGTAGAATGAACTTTGAATTTTTTGTCACATATTTCTCCAGTACTAGTGAAGAGAATGACTTTTTGAATCTGTGGTACACTTCTTGTTTGTCAATACTTTTCTGAAAAGTCACAGTGACAAAAATATTTGTTTTCATTCAACATGTTGCAAAAATTCAAAGTAATGGCGTAGCACAGATTCAAAAAGTTATTCTGTTCAGTAGTACTGGAGAAATATGTCACAATAAATTTAAAGTACATTCAAGTATCACCAAACAGGAAGTTGTCCGACAGATCCAAAAAGTGCCCACATATAACAACTCGTCACTGTTAAGCTGCTGATCAAATATAAAGTTTTGTGATTCCTGGGTAAAAGTATGACGAAAACATTTGTTGGACATATGGAAGAACAGACGAAAGGACAGACAAGGTGATTACAATATAGCCCCCTATTATATAATTTGATTTTCTTTTATTAAGACAGAAACCAGACTAATATTGAAAATCAGGAAATAAGAGAAAATATAATTTTTTGTTCAAATATCCAATCAATTCAGACAAAATATGGAATACATGTGGGAATACCATTGGCTTCTAGCTTGAAAACCAAACTATATAACATGTTTACAAAAAAATGTCAATTTCTCTTACACTTTCTGTTAAAAAGAAAGGAAATCTGAAAACATTGCCAATTTTTGTCATGCTATATTGCAATTCATATGACACTATTATCAATGTGAAACAAGAAATATTGAGCACTGTTATTATACTGTTGGAGTCAAGTTTACTTACATCAGCTAACTGGTACAAAAGCTACAAAGAGACAGAACATATATCATATTAATGATAAATAGAGAACATCAAAGATACATCTTCTAAAGTTTTTTTGTAATTGTTGCTAAATTGTTGAAAGATTAAAGTCCCATACCTTTGCAATATAAAATCAAAATTTATTTTGTCTTCATACAATTTAAGATTGTGCAAAATATCATAATAATCTGTGATATCTTTGTAAGCAAACTTAATCATCAATGACAAAAGTCCAATAACTCTGATATAACAAATGTATAAAAAGATTGAAAAGGTACCTCATCTTATAGATACTTAATTACATGCAATTTTATATTCAAAGCACTGTCAGTGCTGTGATCTAGCAAATGTTTTAGCTATTTGGACCATTCTTATAGTATTTCAATTTTAAAAGGAGCACTGTTTTTTAACATATGGATGGACAAAGGAAACAGCACAGGAAGGTGTAGCATATTCTTTAAATCGAAGTTTGACTTAATAATTTTTCAACAAGAAAATATATTAAGTAACAAAATTTTGTTTAATTTGGTGTTCATATCTTCATTGGAAAAAATACATTTCCTGTATTCAAAATTAAACTAAATTATTGACTAATATCAGATGATTTAGGACACTGATTTAACAAGTAAAATATACCCTGCTTGCATTTTTTATTCAGATTTTATTTTTTGCCTTTTCTTAGAAAAAAATACATCTTATTAATCATTAATCATTCAGCTTTGACACATGATTTACAGAATAATTTTATACAGTGTGAATCAATAGTAATTAAAGGTAAATCTATTATTTATATATATCAACACTTTAAGATACCAGTGAAGTCAATTATGTTATACATGAGGTGTTGTATTAAATAATTTTCGACACTTTATTTTACAACTCAATATACAACTTAATATACAACTATTGACCTCAATATACAATTATTGACCTCGAAATACTATAGGAAAGAAATGGAAGTATTTGAAAAAAGCGTGGAAATATCTTGGATATCAATACGCAGCTAGTGCATCAAATTTTCTTCAATTACTTAAACAAGCATATGAAACTGACCGAATACCAAAGACTATTGGCCCTATGTTTGGTTTTCTTCTTACTGTATACAAAAATTATTCGTACAAGATGTTCATTAGAAACCTTACATCAATTATAAAATTAATTGAGACACATTCTGTATACTTTCTGTACTTACTTCATCTCTCTCATTAATGGCCCCAATGGTATTTTCTGTAACCTCCTGATCATACTGGCCTAACAATGCTTCTATTGTCTCCTTCATCTGAAACAAAATAAAATCCTATCCCAATACTATAAGGTAATGGAATGACATTGATAAAGCAATTAGAAATGTAGATTCCATCTCCAAATTTAAGTATGACCCTACAACAGAGATCCCATCAATCCAAACACTGTTATGTTGGAGAACATAAGGCAAACATTATATATTAAAAAGACTTTGACCTCCATGTTCAACTCTAAATTATGACCTTTTTAGATTCAATATAATAAATTACCAAAGCTGTCGGTGCTGCAGTTTGACTGAAGACAGATTTCAATTTTCTTTGAATGTCCTTTTCATGCACAAATCAAATTCACCTTTTAGATAAAATACTTTTTGTCCTGTCTTTAGATCTCTTTACTTTACTAAATGAAAACAAAAATTTAACTCTTACTCAAAATACATTCTTAATTAAAGAAGTCTAGCATTTTAATCGAAAAAGTGAACATTTTGACCTTTAAAAAGATATCTTCCTATCTTTTTAATGAATTTATATAGTTTAGTATGTCAGTAAATCAGTATATTGACGTAGGACTGTTGTTATTTATTTGGGAAATTGTGAACTTTTTTCTTCTATAACTATTGTACACATTTATAATTATGTCAGGCTGAAATTTGTCATCTATGTTCTATTTTTAGCCATGGCAGCCATGTTTGTTGGACAAATTATAAAAACTAGATACCCCATTGATGATTGTGGCCAATTTAACGATGAATTTCAGAGGAGATAGTTTTTGTAAAACTTAATGGACGACGACAAACACCAAGTAAAGGCAATGGCTCACACTGGCCTATAAGCCAGGTGATCTAATCAAAGTGCTGGATAGCACCTGTGGAAAGTTTGCAACGGAAGATGTGTAATATTTCAAATAGGTTGTAAATGTGTAGATTGGGTGTTTAACTTTTTTTCCGACTTTAAAAAAAAATTACTTAATACAAGAAATAATTGTAACATGATGCTGTTACCAAGTCTCCCAAACAAAACTTCCATAATTAGTCATTCCCAGGAAGGGGGTGGGAGTGACCCCAGGGGATTCGCCTTTTATTTCGTTTGATTTGTTTTATTGTCCCATACAAGAATATATATGGTTTTGGGGTGGGGATCTTGACCGTTTACAAGTTCTCAAAACAGGATGGGGTGGGGGTGACACCCAGGGACTCCCCCTATATTTCATTTGACTTGTGTTATTGTCCCTTACAAGAATATATATGGTTTAGGGGTGGGGATCTCGACCGTTTACAAGTTTTCAAAAAGAAGGGGGGTGGGGTGACCCCTGTGGACTTCCTCTATATTTCATTTGATTTGTTTTATTGTCCCATACAAGAATGTATATGGTTTATGGGTGGGGATCTCGACTGTTAACAAGTTCTTAAACAGGAAGGGGGTGTGAGTGACCCCAGGGGACTTGCCTTTTATTTCATTTGATTTGTTTTATTGTCCCTACAAGAATATATATGGTTTTGGGGTAGGGATCTTGACCGTTTACAAGTTCTCAAAATAGGATGGGGTGGGGGTGACACCCAGGGACTCCCCCTATATTTCATTTGACTTGTTTTATTGTCCCATACAAGAATATATATGGTTTAGGGGTGGGGATCTCAACCGTTTACAAGTTATCAAACAGGAGGGGTAGGGCTGATCCAGAGGGACTCCCGCTATATTTCATTTGATTTGTTTTGTCATAACTGAAAACTGTGAGTGTCTATCACTTACTGTTTTCAAGTTATAGTCATTTGAAAATTTAAAAAAAATAAATCCCATAGGGTTCTATAGTAAATCTTCTGTTGGCCCCTCAAAATACCCCTAAATAGACCTCAAAAAGAAAAATAATAAGAACTGAGCAAAACAATAAGTCTCCAAACTTTGTTTGGGAGACTTAATAATAGCAAGTAGTATAATTACGAATTTTGTTAATAGTCCTATTTTCTGATGCCGATTATGTAATAGGCGGAGTTTAATATAATCCGAGTTTGTTGTGGGCCGAGATGAGATACCGGGATACTTTCGATACACTCGGGCTTTTACGTCTTTAATAAACATTGTAAAAATCGTAGTAAGCGTCAAAAAATGTTCATTCATGAAATATTTTAAACACGGTATTTATATATATTCTCTTCAACTGGAGGACGGAAGGAAACCCCTGAAACCGGGATTATAGTACTCCCTTTGATATGGATCTCACGCATGTCTGGGGAATACCGATAAAAGCATAACGTAGAAACTGCTGTCTTGTGAATAGGTGTATTGATTTTACTTTCCGCGCAGCGCAGATCAGCGAAGTAGTGTTTGTGATAGCCATTTTCAAAATGAAGTTGAATTATTTGAATTATTGATGAACATTCAGTACATTTTAATTCAAACTGTAAGCTAATCAAAATAGAAGTAACTCAAAATTTCAAAAGCATCTTCCTAGAATTAGTTGTCAAACACCAGTACTACATTATCTAGGAGTAGAACACACATCCTAAAGTAAGATAGTCTGTCACTTCCGGTTTGAGGCCGATGCCTTACGAAAGTTTTTGACTTTCCAAAAATTGAAAACTAGTTCTATTTCAAGGATCTATGACTATGATTCTGGTGACATTTCAATCTGGTATGTGTTAAAAATACTTGCTAAGCTAAAGATAAACATTCCTGAAAAGAAAATTGCTTTACTGAAAGTTCGTGATTAACAATTTTTCAGTGAACACAGAGATGCAGATTAATGTGGCTTTGATTAATTCTGTTACATATTTTGATTTGATAAGTTAAAAGAAAATATGTTTTGTTGCATGTTGTAGAAAAGTATTTGAAGAAATCCTTATAAAAGGTAAAGGGTCTGTAATGGGACAAAGACATGTTTGGTGTTCTCAATGTAATTGTAAACTGGGCTACCAAGAAACTGCAGTGGAGACAAGAGTGCACACACTGAAATGTCTCGCTGCTTTACTACCATTGATTTTATTTTGATAGCCCTAAATATAAAGTTTTACTACAAGTATCACATTGACTTATCATGATCCAAGAAAATGAGGTCAAGGTCAGATAAACCAAGCCAGAAATACATGTAAACCTTACAATCATTCTATACATTGAATATAGTTGACCTATTGCTTATAGTATACAAGAAACAGACCAAACCATGAAAACTTTATATTGACCAATAAACCATGAATATGAGGTCAAGATCAGATGAACCCTGCCAGACAGACATGTACACTTTAAAATCATTCCATGATATAGCTGACATATCAAATATAGCATCTAAGAAACAAACTTAACCATGAAAACTTATCATTGACCAATGAACCAAGAAAATGAGGTCAAGGTCAGATGATACCTGCCAGACAGACCTATAAACATTACAATCATTCCATACACCAAACATAGTTGACCTATTCCTTATAGTTTAAGAAAAACAGACCAAAACTCAAAAACTTAATATTGAGCAATGAACTGTGAAAATGAGGTCAAGGTCAAATAAAACCTGCCAGACTGACATGAACATCATAAGATATTTCCATACACCAAATATAGCTGACCTATTGCATACACTATAAGAAAAATAGACCAAAACACAACAAGAGTGCACACGCTGAAATGTCTCGCCTTCTTTTCTAATCATTGATATTATGTTGATAGTCCTAAATATAAAGCTTTCTTACAACTGTCACATAAACTTAACATTAACCAAGAAAACTAAACATTGACCAATGAACCATGAAAATGAGGTCAAGGTCAAATGAACCATGCCAGGCAGGCATGAACAGCTAACAATTCTTCCATACAACAAATATAGTTGACCTATTGCTTATAGTTTTAGAAAAACAGACCAAAACACAAAAACTTAACACTGAGCAATGAACTGTGAAAATGAGGTCAAGGTCAAATAAAAACTGCGCGACTGGCATAAAGATCATAAAATATTTCCATACACCAAATATAGTTGACCTATTGCATATAGTATTAGAAAAAAAGACCAAAACTCAAAATCTTAACTTTGACCACTGAACCATGAAAATGAGGCCAAGGTCAAATGACACCTGCCAGCTAGACATGTACACCTTACAATCATTCCATACACCAAATACAGTTGACCTGTTGCTTAAAGTGTAAGAAAAACAGACCAAAACACAAAAACTTAACATAAGTAATGAAACATGAAAATGAGGTCAAGGTCAAATAAAACATGCCAGACTGACATGTACATCGTAAAATATTTCCATACACCAAATAAAGTTGACCTACTGCATACAGTATTAGAAAAACAAACCAAAAAAAAATGAGGTCAAGGTCAAATAAAATTTGCCAGACAGACATGAACATCCTACAATATTTCCATACACCAAATACAGTTGAACTATTGCAAACAGTATTAGAAAAACAGACCAAAACACAAAAACTAAACTATGACCACTGAACCATGAAAATGAGGTCAAGGTCAGATGACACCTGCCAGTTTGACATGTACCCCTTACTATCATTACATACACCAAATATAGTAGACCTATTGCTTATAGTATCTCAGATATGGACTTGACCACGAAAACTTAACCTTGTTCACTGATCCATGAAATGAGGTCTAGGTCAAGTGAAAACTATCTGACGGGCATGAGGACCTTGCAAGGTACGCACATACCAAATATAGTTATCCTGTTACTTATAATAAGAGAGAATTTAACATTCCAAAAAATCTGAACTTTTTTTTCAAGTAGTCACTGAACCATGAAAATGAGGTCAAGGACATTGGACATGTGACTGACGGAAACTTCGTAACATGAGGCATCTATATACAAAGTATGAAGCATCCAGGTCTTCCACCTTCTAAAATATAAAGCTTTTAAGAAGTTAGCTAACGCCGCCGCCTGATCACTATCCCTATGTCGAGCTTTCTGCGACAAAAGTCGCAGGCTCGACAAAAACTTAAATTTAACCACTGAACCATGAAAATGAGGTCAAGGTAAGATGACACCTGCCAATTAGACATGTACACCTTACAATCATTCCATACACC